AATAGAAAGAACATTTATTGATTTTAAATCTCTCAAAATGATAAGATCTCAAAATGATAAGAGGTCACAAATAATTTTTTTTTTTTTTTAATTAAAGATCTTACTCTTTGCGAATGGTCAGATGGTAGTATCTGAGAACCGGTTAACTACAGTGTCAAGTTAAAGTTAAATTAAAAATCTTAATGGTTTGTGATATGATAAGTAGTCGTGTTGTTGAAAATAGAGGAGTTTAATGTGTTATAACAATTCACTGTTTTTTTTTTTTTTTTTTTTTTTTTTTTTTTTTTTTTAAAGAAGCTGTGGCATTGCTTTCGCATGGCAACATATTTTTGTTACATTATTTTTTTTTTTTTTTTTTTTTTTTTTTTCCATATTTAACTTAGGAGTAACTTTTATGTCTAATTTCCCTCAAGAGGTTAATGTAGCAGCAGACATGGCAGCAGCAAAATAGTGAAACTACAGCTTTACTTTTATAATTATGGACAAAAATTATTGCAAAAAATAGAGTGACAGTGCTAGAGTATTTCTGTTATTTGGCTATGACAAATATCAAAAATTGACACACTTTTTAAAGCCATAAGAGATATTTTTTTTTTTTTTTCTTAAAGTTATTCCCTTTTCCTTCTTAAAATTATTGAAAAGCTAGCTGATTATTTACAAATCAAAGTGGAAATTAAAATATCTTATTTCTTATGGAACGTCAATACTTGCGGAGATCCAGATATATCAGAAAGATTAAACTTAAGGTATTTCCAGTGTCAGAGTCAAAAGATAATTTTAAAAAAATTGTTTCAGCTGTTCAACTGTTTGCTATTACGCTCTCATTTAGAATTCCTGATATTGAAAGAAAAGAGAAATACTACTTTTAAATGAAATGAAAGCATTTTATTAACTTTTAGTATTACTTTCAACGGAATGCATGAAGCAGAAATGTGAGAAAGACAGAAATAGAAAAATTTCTAATCAAGAAAAAAATTTAAAAATAAAGTAAAAAAATAACTTCCTTAAAAAATGTGTTTATCTTCAACAGTTTGCTATTACGCTCTGATTTATAATTTAGATACTGAAAGAAAAAAATCTGATTTGTACATCATATGACATCCTTGTACGGAATATTAAATTATACGCATTTTTTCCTGCATTTCATTTCAACTTATTTCCTCGAATTTCATTAGAGGTATAATTTTCATTCAATTAATTCAGTTCTCACTTCGCAGCAAGTCAAACATACATAAAACCTCAAAATATCTTTCTTAAAAATTGAAAAATATAGAAAATATAAAACACTAAATACAGTTAAAACAGTTGAAAAAACACAATTTTTACAACTTAAATTAGAGTTTCTAAGCAAAAACAAGCAATTGGACCAGCGGGCAAGAAGGCAGATTTTTCGGTGCACAAAACTGAAAGTTTAATTTTGGTCCCACTCGGCAAAAAGACACTGAAGGTGCAAAAACTGAATTCACTATTCGGTTAAATTTCAAATGTAAACAAATATGGCTGCTATGGTAAAAAAATTAGGCTAAGCCGCACTTAAACAACTTTTAAATTGTTGATAATTCTACAATTATAGCATGCAAATTATCTAAAGGCATAAAAACCTTATCCGGAAGATAAAAACAACATAATTCATTTATTTTGCAGCAAATAAAAAAAAATGAGCTAACGGAGCCATGGGTGCAGGTATATATATATATACATTTGGTACGGTCGATTGTAACTAAACAGGGATGTGCACAGCTAAATGTTTAGCAGTTCTATATACAAAATTTCAACGTTCTGAGGTTATTCGTTTTTGAGTTATGCGAGATAGATACATACATACATAAGTACGCACAGATGGCACAGAAAAAATATCTTCTGAATCCATTTTAAATCCTTTTTACAACCCATTTTGGGAAAACTAGTCCTTTAGTTACCAAAGATCGTGTTTCAGAACAAAATTATTATTCCAGTCTTAAATTTACTACTCAGTTTATCTTGATTCAAATCTTAAATAATTCCAGAAATGTGAAACAATTTCCCGACGCGATGATAGACAACTAGTTTCAAAAATAAATAAAAATGTATAATTTTGTGTTTGTAATTATTTTGTGTTTTTCTTTTACAACCAAGATCTGGCATATGACTTGCTTTTCAAACTGATAGCACGGTGTAATCTAATGGTTAAATTTTACTATGAAACATATCAAATTTAATAAATTATTCTTTGATAGAAATTTATTCATAAAGTGTTCGGTAAGCGTGTCTCATCTCTTAAAATTGCTTAAGTAAATGTTGTGAACTTGCATTTAGGAATTTTGACTGTGCCAGTGTAATTTTGTTTCAATTATTATAACATGCAAGAAAAGAGTTCATACACAGCTATGAACTTAAAAATAGTTAATTAAATTCCCTTTGTTATTCATGAAGTAAATAGCGTTTAATTAAAAAATATGCCATATTAAGGTTATTTTTTAACCTAATTTAAATTTTCCTTAGCATCCCCAATAATCGTTATTCGAAATGATATTTTAACTCGATAATGTAATACTATCAAATTCCTTAGTAGGTTCCTTAATTCTCGTAGTAAAAATCCTACAGGCTTCTTATCATCTGTATACAGAATACGTTCTATTATCAGAAATTTAGTTCCTCTTTCATATCACAGTATACAGTCATAAAATCACAGTCGTTTTTTCTTACAAATTAGCCCTATCAAAGTAAATCTTTCAAAGACATTTTGAATGTCTAATCAGAATGAACATTCAAGATAAAAAATTTTAAAGACCTTCGTATAGTTATATGAAACTCACTAACCGTCATAACATTTAAGTAGCTTCATTCCATGTTTAGAACTTTTGATTGGCGGTTTACGTCCAACAAGGATACGACATACTATGTAAATTTACATCTTTGAATCAGAGAGAGAGTAAAATTTGTTTATTTTAAAGAACCTGAAATGCAAATATCTATTTAGTTTTTCTTCTGCTTGCGGATTAAATGTTCTAGAAATCTAGAAACAGAGCATAACTACATGGATTCTTAGCTTGCGAAATACCCTGAGCCGCCAATCAGAAATCAATTATTTGAATATTTACTCGGGATTTCAATAAATTACTTATTACATAAAAGGTAAAGCACATAAAATCAATGCGTATGCAAAAATTAAGTGTAAACGAAGAATCGAAGAAACTAATACACTACTGAAGTTGAAACATATGTTGGAAAAGAAATAAACTCATAAAATTTGTTGAATATGCACATTATTCATGTCTTCTATAAAGTGACTACATGTTCACGATGAAAATATACATTGAGTTTATTGAAAATGATTTAAAAGGCAGTAAGTTTATCGAGTAAATAAATTTAATGGTTTAAACCTGAATAAAATATATTTGGGTAAAATTATAGAATCCTTTTACAAACATTAAATTTCAAGCTGAATTTTAATTAACTTAAGAGCTACAGGTTTTTAATAAATAGAGATCTGATAATACAGTAATTTTACTCAAAACATAACTTCGGGAATGGAATTTTTCATAAAAATAATTTAACATTTGAAAAGACTGACAGCTTATATAGCTTAGAAACATAGCATAAACAGCAATATTTTGTTTTATATCAATTTTGGATGTTATATAAGAACATAGTAAATAACATGAAGGTTGTACTGAGAATAATGCAGAGATCCGCCTAATGTGTTTTGACACATGGATCCATACAAATTCCGTCTATTGTTGGAATGATTTTTCCTTCGTATGAAGTTGTTACTCAATAGTCTTCATCATGTGCAAAGTCTCCTAATGCCCTAAAGAGATCTATTTGCAGTGTTATTCAACTCATCTCTCAAATCTTCTTTGGGAAAAAAAAAAAAAAAACAGATATGCACAGATTTAGCAATTTCCGTAGATTGTTCATCATTGGATCAAAGATACAGTCCGATGGCACAAGATAAACTCTGCATGATGTATAAGAGTCAAATGAGCAGACCAGTTTCCTAATCGCTAGAAGGATGCGCACGGTTATATTGGATAGCGCGGCTTCAAATGGCTAACCTACCAAAGACGAGCGTTAGCTGAAGAAGTTTCATAATCGCTGCCGAACACATGCAAGGGCATGTATTTCTATACAGAATATGCATAATATTCAATTCTTGTTTGGTCACATTTTCCAAGCGACTTTTGGAAGCTTTTAGAAGATCTGAACGTAATATTTTCTGGTCACAATAAGGTCAAATTTTAAAGCATCAACGTCATTACCAGACTGTCATCTTTAAAAAATAATCGCAATTACTTCTAAGCAGTGTTCATCTTTGATAAGATAATCTGTAAAAGATATGCATAAAGTACAAACGACAATAGCGTATTGGGTAAAATGTTTCAACAAAGGGTAGATCAGTAAGAATTTTGGAGGATTCAAGACGGTAACATATGACTTGAATGAGCCGTGAATACAAAGGTCCCGAACTGTACTCTTGTTTCTTAAAACACAATTACAGCAACGTGTGAAAATGCTTATTATTTCACAAAAATGTATAGTATAGAAAGTCGCAAGGATTTACAAATAAAGAATTAAGTAACAAGAATTTTTGTGTTTTAAATAAAAATGTAATAGTGATAAAACATCTGAAGGACTGTAATATTAATGATTGCAAATTCGCATCAAACACATTTCAAGAATAATTTTAATGGAATTTTACTAGTTTCTAGTTTATATTTCTTATATTCTGGAGATATTTCATTGATTCTGGATACTATAAAGTTCATGTCTATTTCAAAAAAAAAAAAAAAAAAAAAAAAAAAAAAATTATTTAAATTCATACATTTTCAATTTTTTATTATTATCCATATTTTTAAATATATATAAAATTTATGACTCAGAAATGTTTCTTTTATAAATTTATTTCTCAAGAAAAACTAATGAAATTAGTTTTTACATACCACATTAAATATACCTTCCACTACTTGATTTTTAAAGGAGTTAAATTTCAAGCGGAATATGAAGAACTGCTGAAAACATTACTCTTGATTTTTTCTCTCGTATGTATTTTTTCCTGAAAGCTTAAATTTTTGCCGATTGTAAATGATTTCACACAGTAAAACTAAAAAGGAGAAAAAGTAACCCAAAGTAAGCATAACGATAAATATTTTTATATCCTCCATAGAGACTTGACTGTTGGGATTTATTTCACTATTGTCGTCCCTTCGCTTTTGGTTTAATTTGAACGCTTCTTCACTGATCGTATTTTGATATAATCCTGAGTTGTGAAGTCTAGAAATTACAGCATTAATAGCTGCCATGCAACAAAATCCTTTCTTGAAAGCTAATCCACCATACCAAAAGGAAAGTGAGTCATCTGACATATATTTTGTTTTACCAATTTCTGTACCGAATGTCGAAAGTATTTCCGCTTTTGTAAGTATTAGAGCAGTGTTTTCTTGAAGGTACTTATAAGAATTTGCTTTATCAATGAACCATTGGTTTTTTTTAATTAAAGTAGCAAGATTTCTCAGACGTGTTTGCTTGGCTTGCTCGAGTATGTCTATATTAAATGATCCTTTGCGTACAAAACATTTATATTTTCCCGATTCCACTGCTTCAGATAATTCTAGAAAATTCCGAACTGGCTGATTTCTCATGGGCACACTCAACATCGACGACAGTCCTCCTATGTAACCACACGATATAATTAGCGTAAAAAATTGCCAGAATATAATAAGACATCTCCCACCTAATGTGTCATCATTCGCGGTAAAAGGTTGCTTGAATATACTGCCAATTATTTCAAAGATAATGCGCATGTAAGTAGGTTTCTTCTTCAAGACGCATCGAAATATTACTGGCATTAGTAAAAATGTTATGAAGCAGCTAATCCAGACGGACGGCTGAAATGCATTCACGTAGGAAAATACTCGCGAGTTATAACTTGGGATATTCGAAACGAATAATATATCTTGGAAATAGTACGGTAGAGTGAAATCAAAAATTGACTGTCTTTGGCTATTGATGGTAAGAAGTCCAGCATCGATTTCATCTTTTTGAAGCATGTTTACCATACCCGTCCAGTTTCCATCTTCTTTCAAGCGTCCCCACTGTCTATCCGGAGGCACAATTAAATTATACTGGAAACCCAATTTTTCCGATAAAATTTCGAAATTTTTTGCTAAAACACCGGCAGCGGTGGAGTGATTATTCGTATTATTATTTAACAGCAGGAATGGAAAAACTGGAATAACACCGATCCTCAAGTATCTTGGAAAATCCTTTGCTACAGCTTGCTGGCGTCTCGATTTGGGAACTTTGGCCATCTGTGAAGGTTTGTTTCATATGCGTTACTTCTATCATAGTTATTACACATTTTGTGATAATACTGAAATACATTCATCAAAACAGCGATTCTTGAATAATGTATGATTCTGTCATATTATTTACTCCTTCCGTGAGAGCGTTTAAATGAATGCTTCAAACGAAATTCTTGAATAATGTATTGATTATCAGTTTTTCGATGACTTTTTAGATGCAATTTTTAACAAGCACTAAAGGAAATACTAAGCGCACAGTAAAACGTTTTTTTAAGTGTAAGGCCTTTTAATCTTTTGCAAATATCCAGCAGGTTTTTTTTTTTTTTTTTTTTTTTTTTTTTTTTTGGTAGTTTTAAGTTTTCTACTGTTTTGCATATTTTCGCATGCAAAACAGGAGTTTGAAACTGGAACTCCATAAATTAACGCCTTTAATGCACGAATTGGATTTTTCTTCTTTGTTTACATATGTGTGTATGTATGTATATTGATTTGATTACGAATAACAGCTTGCAGTATCTACGAAATATAATGTAGTTAACATTTTTCCAAAGTCGGAGAGCAGAACAGAATATATTTGTACGTAAAGTACTTTGCCCGAGCCAACTTGTTGCTTATTTCAATGAAAGTTCAGGCTTATTTTAAAAATTTTTAACTTTTTGAATCTTAAATCATGGAAAACATAAATTTGAATTTTCTGTGCCCTTTAGTTGGCGAAGTATATTCGGAGTTAAAATGAATCGATGCATTTTTAAAATATAGCTTGAGCAGCATTTAAGTTTGTGGTTTATTGATCGAAAACTACATATTCGCTTTTAAAAATCTAAGAAAAGTAGTTGGATTGGACAAAAGTCTAGTTTATTTTTAAGTTACTGTATTTATCATAGATAAATAATAGCGTGATGAAGTTTGGGTAACTCTGTTTGACGAATTACTGCTCTAAGCAGTCAAATGAGTTCTAAATCGGGAAACTATAAATAACCAAATATTTGATTCAAAATCTGAAAAGAAAATTTATTCGTCGTTCGATATTTACTTCTGTAATAATTTGGTTTTCAATCGAAATTTAATAAAAACATAGTCGCCCAGACAATATAGTGATTAGGGGAGCCTACTGCGGTACCGAAAGGCTCGAGTTCGAATACTGGAAAAGACATGGATGTGTGTAAATATATAGTGTCTCCCGCGGCATGCGGGCACTCTAAATATGCAGAAAGCCAAAAGTCCTGTCTTGTGGTTTGGTAGAAGGAAAGAGGGGTGGGAAATCCCCGGAGTCCTGTACCTCAAAACTGAGGGTGGACACTAGAACTCCATCCTCTCTTTGTTGTAGGCTCTGACAACCATTCTTCTATTTAATATGGACACAAAACAACAATAAAAATATTTATAAATTAGACTTTTATTAATAAAATATACTAAAATTAGACTTTTATTGTAATGGAACTATCTTGATTAAGTAATCGATAATTAGACTATAAGCATTAAGACGATAATTAGACTATAGCATTAAGACGATTAAGTAGACGATAATTAGACTTTTATTAATAAAATAGACTTATATTAATAAAATATACTAAAACTCAATATTAAAGTGTTTTAAATTGTCTTAATTTGTAAAAATAGTTCTTCTTCGAAGATCAGCTTGATTTCTGTAATAAATGTTACAGATTATTTCTTCTTTTCTATAATTAATACGAGCGCTAAAAACACCACAGATGTTTCTTTTAAATGATACGCTAATGATAGGCCCAAAAATGCAAGATGACTTTATTGGTATTTTACTAAGAATTTAGACTTCATAACATTGCAATAACCGGTGATATTAAAATGATGTACAGACAGATAAAGGTTCCATGAAAAAGATAGAGATTTTCAGAGAATATTATGGAAAGATAGCACGTATAAACGAATACAAGTTTGTCGTGTTGGAAACAGTTACATATGGAACTGCAGCTGCTCCATATCTTGCAACCAAAGTTTTTGAGTCAGTTAGCGATTGATGAAGGATTGAACTTTCCAAGGCAAAGAATATAGTTTAAGAGATTTTTATGTTGATGATATGTTAACTGGTGTAAAAGATAGTTCGGAAGGTATTGCATTGATAGAGCGAATTGCAACAACTGCTAAAAAGTGGTGGCTTTGAGCTCACCAAATGGTCGACAAGTGAACCGTCATTGTTAAAAACCTCTGGCTTAACAACACAGATAGTGACAATATTCATCGTGTAATAGAAGACAAAACATTGAAAGTTCTGGGATTGGAATGGCATCCGGACAATGATGAATTCAAATGCAATGTCGTTGTAATAGAGTATGAAAGTGTTCCGAATAAAAGGATTATTTTGTCATTCGTAGCAAAGCTATTCGATCCATTGGGGTGGATAGCTCCGTTTGTAATTCTCGCTAAAATGATCCTTCAGCAATTGTGGAAATTACAATTAGCATAGGATGATCCTGTAACAGAAGAGATTGATCGAAATTGGAGAAATCTATGTAGAGAAGTGAAACTTTTGAATTCTATAAATATACCTAGGAAAATTCTGCTTCCTGATTATTTTCGATGTGAACTTCACGGATTTTGTGATGCGTCTGAAAGAGGTTATGCAGCAATTATTTATATCAAAACTTGCAATAACTCTGACATTAATGTTAAACTTGTAACCAGCTAAAACAACTCGTGTAGCACCATTAAAATCTGTTACGATTCCAAAACTGGACTTATGTGCAGCCGTGTTATTGGCACGCTTGATTCAGTCTGTAAAAGCTGCATTAGTCATAAAATTTTGATTTAGTGCAAGCTTGGAGTGATTCACAAATCGTGTTGTCATGGCTAAGGTCAGATCCTAAAAAATGGCAAGTATTCGTATCCAATAGAGTTTCTGAAATACAATCCATCTTACCACCTGAGAACTGGAGTCATGTTGATGGAAAGGAAAATCCAGCTGATTGTGCTTCACGTGGGTTTATTTCCTGCAGAACTATATCTCATCAATTGTGGTGGAATGGTCTTCTTGGTTAAAGTGCAGTGAGATTGCCTTGTCTAAAAATATTCTTATAGATGAAAAGGCATACCAGATTGCACGTAAAACAGTTCTCATTTGTAGTTTCTGAACCTGTACAGGAACTTGCTATTATATCAAATATATCTTCATTTCCAAATTACAACAACGCATATTTGCTTGGATTATTAAGATTCATATCGAATTCTAAAGTAGCATATCTATAAAGAAATACGTCTTTTTTATCTAGTAATGAAATTCGAGCTGCAACTTTCTGTATTGTCCGAATAATACAGCGATTTCACTTTTTAAAGAAATTCAATGCTTGGAGTTGGGAAGGACTTACCTACAAACAGCAACCTCCTTAGCTTGTGTCCAATTTTAGATGACAACAAATGTTACGAGTAGGAGGAAGACTGAAAAAATGCGCACTATCAGAAAATGAAAAACATCGAATCTTATTACCTTCAAAACACAATCTGACAGGAAATCATAATTAGACACTTTCATGTCAAATATCTGCATGCAGCACCAGAACTTCTTCTATCTTAAATTAAACAGCAATTTTGGATCATAGCTGCTAGATCTACTATCCGAAAAGTTGTAAGATCTTGTATCACGTGTTGCAAACTTAGAGCTAAAACTGCAAGTCAAATAATGGCTGATCTACGGGAATCTACTAGAGTAACACAATCGCGACCATTTCATCGAACTGGAATAAATTTTTGTGGACCGTTCATGATTAAACATCGTGCAGGACGTGCACAAAAATCATTTAAATGCTAAGTATGCTTAATTATGTGTTTTGTAATGAAGGCAGTACATCTTCAAGTGGTAGAAGATTTGTCAACAAAGGCATTTTTTTAAGTGCATTGAAACGATTTATTGCAAGAAGAGGGAAACTATTTGAAATTTATAGTGACTGCGGTACTAACTTTTAAGGTGCAGACAAAGAAATAAGAAAATGTTTTTTGCAATGTAAGCAAAATCAAGAAATTCACAAATTTTGTGTCTTTAGAGGAATAAAATGGATATTCAAAACCCGCCATCGTCTCCCCATTTTGGTGGGACTATGAGAATCGGCAGTAAAGTCAATGAAATTACATCTAAAAAGGACTGTTGGTGATACTGTGCTGACCTATCCGGAATTTCAGACCTTGATAGCGCAGGTTGAGGCTTGTCTCAACTCTAGGCCATTGTGTCCAACATCGACTGATCCAAATGATTTAACTGCATTAACACCTGGTCATTTCCTAATAGGAACGTCTTTAACTGCCATACCTGAACCATACATAAATTATAGTTCCTTCAATCACATTGACAGATTGTGATTCAATCACATTTCACATTGACAGGCATGTGAGACAGTTTATTTATTTATTTATTTATTTATTTGCACTTCTGGAAAAGATGGAGTCGAGAATACCTGTCTCAGCTTCAACAAAGGCCTAAATGGCAAAAAAGTCAAAACAATTTAGAAGTCAATGACTTAGTCCTCATCAAAGAAGAGACAACCTTCTGCCTTTTAAATGGAGGTTAGGGAGAATAATACTGTTCATCCGGGCTCAGATCAAAGAGTCAGAGTTGCTAGTATTAAAACTGGTCATGGGTGTCATAAAACGACCAGTCGTGAAATTATGTCCTCTTCCTATTCAGACTCAAAACTATGAACTGCTTCGCATATAATATTTTGTATTATTTTTCTTTTTTATCTTTTATTACAGACTAAGAAGCTTCAAAATGCTCAAACTGTTGAAATCCCCTGGGATTTCAACGAGGGCCAGGATGTTTATGTGAGTATCGTTTTCTTCATTTTATTGTTGCAATCAGCGTAAATTTCTATTGTTTTTCTTCCTTTAGTTTTGAACTTTATGTGTGGCAACAAGATAATTGATTGATAGAATTGTGTTTGTGACAGCCATGTAGAATGGCTCGCTTATTTTGTGTCAATTATTTCGCATCGCTGACATTTTATTTATAATTAGTGTAATGAAGTAAAAGTGAAGGAATA